CTGGTTATGACTTGTACAAAAGCCATAATCCAAGAGGGTTAATAGGACAAATGCAGCCCCACTCGTCATCTCTCCCAAGGCGGCAACTGATATTCATCACCTCCCCCACACCAGCATTCCAACTGGCCCACATGGCCTGCCTAGTGAGGCTACCCAGACCTTCATCTCTGAGCAGTCTGAGCCCTTCGTTGCCTTGTCTTTAGAGGCTGTGGCTGCTGAAAGTGGCTTTTCACCATTATCACTTACTATAGAACCACCCAGAAGACCCAGGTGCATCCTCTAAGCCATACCAGTTGCTGCCTGCCCCACTCTGCAGCAGCAATCCTACACCTGTATAACAATCAGGATCAAGCATCCCCCCCTTTTTTGTCTGCTGGTCCACCAGCATGAGGAGCTGAGAGTCACCTGGTAGGATCTGCAGATTCAGGCCCGGTAGAGCTGTCTTTCCCTGCAGCCAGTGTGAGTTCGCTCATGGAACTGTTTCCTGACTGGGAACCAGGCTCTAATCCAGAAGACCCTAAGGTTGTGGAGACAGGATGTTCAAATTCTACTTGTGAGTCACTGGGAATGATGATGAGAGGCAGCTAATCCCAGCCCTTGGGTGCCTCGAATCATTGAGGGCATAGCACTACATATTGGGCGCATCTATACACATTGAGTGCACATGTCCCAGCTCCTCAGAATACTGTCCTAGAGCCAGGACTTTAGCTAAGCCTTGAAGAGGTCATTCCATCTTTCCATTGGACAGGCCGCTTTTGCACAATGCAGGATATTAAAGAAGCCATGCATCCCAAGGCGACCCATACACTGCTACACCCCTTTCACTACAAAATGACTTTCTTGGCCTGAGGCGATGCTGTACATGATCCATGTTGGTACACTGAACATTCTCGAGGTTCCTGGACAGTAATGCTATGTTGAGACTCTGCAGATATGCAAGGCAAACCCATACCCAGAACAGGTGTCCATTCCAGTAAGGATGAACAGTGCCCCTCCTGGGTAGAAAAAATTGGCTGTAACCAACAAGATATTAAGTGACTAGCCAGCGTCCTCTGGGGCTGGTACAATAGCAGGGGCTTAGCATTGGTCTCGTCTGCTAACAAATCAGACAGCCAGCAGCAGTAACAATTAGATAGGTGTTGATACGAGAACGCCCATGTTGGTAGATATAACCTGTGCTCCTACTGCCGCGGTGTCTTCACTCAAGGGCCCACTGCACAAGCACAGGGGTAGCCAAGGACAGAGCTGTCTGATATCCGTCCTGTTCATCCTGTCGTTCAGAGGCACATACTTTGTGGCCATTCCTATAGGTCAGTCTTTTTCCCCAGACCTCCTCATCTCCACCTTACCTTCTTGCTCCCTCCAGGTGCCTGACCAGCCAGCAAGGCATTCATTAAAACAGGAAGTACACAGCATTTCTCCCTCAGGCCACCTCTCTGCCCACTCCCTCCATACTAAGTGGATATCCAAGTGCATCATTTGAAGTGCTGTCCCTTGAAGGAATTCCCTTCATTTTTGTCTTTTAGAACCACCCTGAATGGGACTGCAGTATAGCTGTTTTTTCTTTTTCAGCTCTTACCAACACATCTAGGTGATCATTTGTAAACCTGACCTGAATTTCTTTTTCCTGTCTACTAAGAGAGAGGCATGGGTGCAACAAGGTAGATGTGGAGCCACAGCCATCTCTTGCTGTAAATGACTGTTGCTCTCTAGGCAAGCTTGGGTCCAACTCGAAGGATGCCGTTTTCATTGTTTAATGACTTGCTACTGAGCCTCCTGACCTCTTGACTTGAAGGATCCAACAATATCTAGCTCAGGAAGATTCTGTCACACATCACTGATGCCCCAAAATCAGATGCTCGGTCTCTACTTGGGTCTGGTAGCATGCCATATGCTGTTCTTACTGGTGAGTAGTTCTCTGCTATGGAAGGCATGGTCTTGCCACAGAACCCTAGGAGTGTGCTCGGCAACTCTCCTGTTGGACTTGCCAGAGGCACCACACAAAGTCCTTTCTACCAGATAAGCTCAACCCTAACCCACTGGCTCTGTTAAGTGGCCCAGAAGCCCATCCTCCAATCCAGATCTTCAGCACAACCTTCTTTTCTCTGGGCCCCACTCAAAATTGATAGTTTTCAAATTTAGTCAATAAATAGGTTAGAATGATACTTTGGGTTTATTTGTTTGTTTTGAAGTCGGAGTTTCACTCTGTCACCCAGGCTAGAGTGCAACGGCATACTCACGGCCACTGTAGCCTCGACTTGCTGGGCTCAGGCAATTCTTTCACCTCAACCTTCCAAGTAGCTGGGACCACAGGCGTGTGCTAGCTACCACGTCTGGCTTTTCTTTTTCTTTTTTGAATTTATTGTAGAGATAAGGTCTCACCAAATTGTCCGGGCTGGTCTCGAACCTGTGGACTCAGGCAATCCTCTCACCTCCACCTCTCAAAGTGCTGAGATTACAGGCATGAGTCACCCCACCTGGCTCAAAATGATATTTCTTTCTCTTTTTTTTGAGTTGGAGTCTCACTCTGTACCCCAGGCTGGAGTGCTGTGGCAAATTCATGGCCATCCCAGCATCGACCTGCTGGGCTCTGGTAATCCTTCTGGCTCAGTATTCCAAGTAGCTGGAACTACAGGTATGCGCTACCACACCCAGCTAATTTATTTATTGATTTATTGTAGAGACAAGGTCTTGCCAAGTTGCTGGTGGAGGTCTCGAACCCGTGGGCTCAGGCAATCCACTCGCCTCAGCCTCCCAAAGTGCTGGGATTACAGGCTGAGCCACCGAGCCTGGCCCAGAATATTTCTAATCATGGTACATGCTGACTCCAAAATCCAGATGTTCATAAAATGCTATACCTCTTTCTTCATAGGGAAGTGAGATGTATAACTTGTCCTTATGTTAGAGGTGATACACTGGCTTGCCCTAGATGCTGATCCCGCCTAAAAGATTCACTGATATGGCAGGTTCCAGAATGGCTAAGGGTTTAGCACTCATCTTCTAACACATATTGCCTTAGCAAGGCCAGAACACTCGTCACTTCTTTGTTCACCATGTCCAATTAGTATAATGTCATCAGTATTACATAGAATGTGTAGATGATAAGGTCTCTAAGGACTATACTGTGACAGAGAAGAGTTAAAACAGCAAGAAGCAAGACAATGTATATGGCTGTCTTTCCCATATAAATATGAACTGCTTTTGATCTTATCACTGGGAATTGAAAGGGTTTCACCAAATCAATAATTGCATTATCAAGTGCATTAATCGGTTCCAATTAGGATAGCACATCTGGCACAGCTGATGTAACTGGGAATATTGTTTAGCTAAATTTGTGGTCCACCATCATTTACTTGGATTGTAGGGGCCATTTGGAAGAATTGAAGGGATGAATTGGTGACCACCACTTTGTCTTTGAGGTAACACAATCTCTGCAATTCCACCTGGAATGCAGTATTGCTTCTGACTTTCTATCTTGTGGAGTTTCAAGTGGGGTGAGGAGTTTCAGGGGCTTCTGCTTTGTTCTCCCTCCCAAATGGTTCCACAGGTCAGGGATCAATGTACAAGCTCTGCCCACTACTAGGTATAATCATCCCGAGTATTCATTGGGACCAGAGAAAAAACCAGTTCAATTTACCATCTGATTTCCACAAGCCCCTACTCTAACAGGAGGGTCATGATGCTTCAGGTGCCCTGGTGTGTCAGCTCAGATCCTGTATCTAATAGCCCTTGAAAGAGCTGGATAGTCCCTTTCCCAAAGTAAATCACTTTGTTAAGTGGCTCTAGGTTCCTTTAGGGAAGGGCTAGAGGAATATTTTTTGTTTAGATTTATAGTGGTTGCATTGTAGGATCCTTCCTCAAAGGGACCAAGCCTCCCTTTCAACCAATGGTCTGGGTCTCAGAATGGGCTCAGATTTAAACAGAGTGAAGAATCGGAATTTTCCACTATAGCAACTGACATTAGCCTTTTTTTTTAAAGCGAACTGTGAACAATTATCATAATACTATAAGAAAGGACATTAGCCTTTTGATAACCAATTCTTGATTTCTTCTTGACTATTCAAATAAAATGCACTCTAGTCAGATGTCCATCTGTTCTATCCCATGGTTTGACAGGCACTGCCTTCGAACACTAGAGGGCTAGTTGCCACTCCGGCCTGGGACAGAAGCAGAAACGTAGGAGGCATGCACGTGAAGCAGGATGCCCTCAATGTGAGGAGAGTCTCTAGTGCTCTCCAGGTGCCAAGGAGACATGATGCATCCCTAGGTATGGCTGCTCCAAGGTGCGAGTCTTGGGTTTGATTCTGTAATTGGTCTGGAGGCGAGGATGGCTAGTGGACGGAGCATGAAGACATTCCTTTCAAGTTGGGTTAATTTTTTTTTAAAGCCTCATCATTCAGAGGTGCGCTTCTCCTGACAAGAGAGCGTCTCGGTGGTGATCAGGTGTTTAGAGTACCTGCAGTCAAGGGCACTGTCCCAAGGGACAGACATTCGTCCAACAGATGTTTGCTGGGCCCCTACCAGGTGCCGCCCACGCGCGTCTCTCTCCCGCGTGCACGTGCGTGCACGCTCGCCCTCTCCAGGAGTCACCACACTCAGGATCGACCGCACACGGTCTGGTGGGGACTGGGGGCCGGGGCAGGCGGGGCCCACCGCAGGCTGAGCGCGCCTGGTGCGGGTCTGCAGCGCAGACCTCAGCAGCCTGCTCTCCCGCTGCTCCCTCACGGACCGCCTGCCCGGCGCCTTCCCAAGACCCCAGCCCTCCTCCCCTCGGCCAGCTTCACTCCAGGGGGCGCGAGGCCGATGACGTCATCCAGCCCACGTGACACGCAGCCGCGGAGCGCCCACCGCCCACGACGCTCCTGATTGGCCGCGGCCGCTTTCTTGGTTCCGGGCCGCCGTCCAAACAACGGCCAGTCTTTCGAGCGGCCCCGCCCAGAAGGCGTGCCAGAGGGCCCATTGGCCTTTGCCCTGAATAGGAGCGGGGCCCGGCGGAGACGGGCTGAATTTGGCCTTCGAGAGAGGCCCGGACCAGAGTCACGGAAAGAGCCGAGCGCCGGCGCGAAGAGCCGAATAGAGCCGGAGACACCCGAGTATGACCGCAGAGGGGCTGGGCCGGCCGGAAGCGAAGCCGAGAGCGGCCGGAAGAAGCCGAGCCCGTCCGAAGGGAGCGAAGCGCAGCTGGGCGTTGGGCCCGGCCGAGCCCGCGCCATGGCGGCTGAGGGGACAGCTGTGACCGGAGGCGGGGCTGCCGGCGGCCGCCTGGCTAAGGACAGCTTGCAGCAGTCTAAGTGCCCGGACGCGGCCCCGAACCGCCGGCGTGCCTCGTCGCTGTCGCGCGACGCCGAACGCCGAGCCCACCAATGGTGCCGGGAGTACTTGGGCGGGGCCTGGCGCCGAGTGCGGCCGGAGGAGCTGAGGGTTTGCCCAGTGAGGTGGGCGGTCAGGGGTCAGCGTCTCGCGTGCGCGGGCGGGGGTCAGGGATCAGCCTCAGGGCCCTCCACCCTCCACTCTGCGAGCGCCCGCGCCTGGGGCGGGGCCGGGCGGGGACCCGGGGCGCGGGCAGTGCTGCCCGCCGCGGGCTGAGCGTGCCTGGTGTGGGTCTGCAGCGGCGGCCTCAGCAACCTGCTCTTCCGCTGCTCGCTCCCGGACCACCTGCCCAGCGTTGGCGAGGAGCCCCGGGAGGTGCTGCTCCGGCTGTATGGGGCCATCCTGCAGGTGAGGAGGGAGTGAAGGCCGGCGGCGCGTTTGGGGACTCAGACTCCCGTGAAGCTCGCACCTCGTTGTGCAGGCTTCAGCCTGTGCACCACACGCCCCTGCCCCCAAAGCCGGCCCTCCTGGCTGGGCCAGTGCCCCTTGGCTCGGGGCCCTCCTGACCCGGCCCCTCCGCTGCCCGTCTTCTTCCAGGGCGTGGACTCGCTAGTGCTTGAAAGCGTGATGTTCGCCATCCTGGCCGAGCGGTCGCTGGGGCCGCAGCTCTACGGAGTCTTTCCAGAGGGCCGGCTGGAACAGTACATCCCAGTATGAGCCCCGCCTGTTCCTCCCCAAGACACCTCCTCCCCCAGCCTTCCCCCTCCCAATGTCTGCCTTCAAAGACCTCGCCCCAAGTCGGGCATTTCCCCCAACC